CCCCAAAACCCCAAAACCCCAAAACCCCTGATTGTCTTTATATGCAATTTCAAAGAAAATAAAAAAGGTAAATTTAGTAAATAAGCGTCAATTCAATGTTTAATCATTAAAATCAACATCAATTCAGTCAGCCTTTACTGAATATACTTCAATTTCTAATACGCTAAAGAATTTACCTCCAGCCAAATATTCACATGATGTCTTATCGCCAAATACTACATTCTTTGGAGGTTAATAACCACTGCCAATTTAAGCTTAACAAATTCTTTTTAAATTGCATTCATCTTTGATTTGGATATCAAGCATTCCAAACGAGAAAAGCTGATTCTTATAGTGTGATACTGCATAACCAAAGATTTGACTTTGCCTATGAATAGTACCCTTTGACAATTAAAATATGTAAGCTTCTCCATCTTGATATTCTTAAAATAGCCCTTCTGGAGTTTTCCATGGGAGAGATGTGTACCCTCCAAAGACCTGACCGAATTCGCTCAACACAAACGAAACTGTGGGACCTTGATTATCACACTTTTGGTGAAAATTCTCAGCTTTAAAACCGTGAGTAGATGCTCTGTACAATAAGTTGCACTTTCCCTTCAATTTAATAACTAGTTCGTTTACATTACCAGTCTGATTCACATGCTTGTCAACTAATCTTCTAAAGTTTTTCTTGTATTCCACAATCTCATCAGTTGTCTTAGGTATTATATTAGGAGGTTGATATCCATTGAAATTACTCTTTTTTTCTTCATATGGAATATGATTTTATGCAACTTTGGGCTGGAATTTGAGTTCATTTTTTTACTATTATATTGATATCGATTAGAGCTTGCAAAATTTAACCAAATCCTTTTCATAGGAAGACATAAGTATATCCTTATATTAATTTAACTCTTTTAAGAATTCTTTGATGTCAGCTTAAATTGCATCATAAGACCTGATTTTGAGATTTTTAAGGTGAAAATTAGACTGCTTTTAGAGATAACTCTTCTAAATTTTAATAGCTTCCTTAGTTTAATAGAAATAATGTTTCATGATAAGCTTCTAATACTCGTGATAGTTTGACTATTCATCAATCAGCCTAATGAAATAGTCTTTCATCTATTATATATTTGGTCTCTGCTCTGGTTTGAATGCGGTCATGCTATTGAAAATTTCTTAGAATTCATAGTAACCATCCTTAAGTGTAACTTTTTGCCATTATCCCTCGGCAACAGCAAGAAAATTGTTTAATGGTTTTTTTTAATAGTCCTCATTTCCTGTAATAAGATAGTATAGAAGTATCCCTAAAGACCAAATATCAGCATTTTTACCATAAAGCTAACTTAATTTAACCTCAGGAGCTTTATAAGTTTCTTTACCAGCATTAATTTGAGTTTATTTTCCGTATGAAGCTATGCCTAGATCACAAATCTTTACAAAATCATTTTTGAAAACTAATACATTGTCATGTGAAATGTCCCTGTGTATAAAGCCATTTTCATGGATACATTCTAATCCCTCTAAAATTTGAAGCATTATTGAAGAAATTTCTGAAACACTTAAATACTATTTAGAGGCATTTCTATCTTGAACGAACTTTCCTAAATTTTTATCTGCTAGCTCACTGACAATAATGAATTGATTCTTTTCAGTGAGAAAGGCATCTTTCGCATCAAGGATACTTGGATGGCAGAGTTAGAGACTGGTTATTTCTCTAATCAGTCTAAGTATTTCATTACTAAAATTTTCCAAATCTATTCCATTGCCCTTATCATCTTTCTTAAAATTAGAGATCACTTGTTATTTGACAGCAACTTTATAACTTTTTATGAGTTTTTGTTCCTCATCTCTTTCATATGCTTCGTAGATCTCACCGAATCCTCCCCCTCCGATAGGGCCTTGTATTTAAAACATTTAATCAGAATCCTTGATTTTCAACCCTAGTATTCTTCTATCCATATTTTGTTATATTTAAGTTATTTAATATTACTTTTTGTATATATATGTTGCTATTAAAGGATATGCTTTATTACAATCTTAATAAATAATCAATTTATATATTCAAATCTTTCAATTACTGATAAAATTTTCAAATGAATCTCTAAGGGGTTTTGGGGTTTTGGGGTTTTGGGG